CAGGAGTGTGATAAGCAAGACACGAGAAGTAATTCTTCCTCTTTACTCCACGCTGATTAGGCCTCAACTGGAGTATTGTGTCCAGTTCTGGGCGCCACACTTCAGGAAAGATATGGACAAATTGGAGAAAGTCCAGAGAAGAGCAACAGAAATGATTAAAGGTCTAGAAAACATGACCTATAAGGGAAGATTGAAAAAATTGGGTTTGTTTAGTCTGGAAAAGAGAAAACAGAGGGGACATGATAAGTTTTCAAGTACATAAAAGGTTGTTACAAGGAGGAGGGAGAAAAATTGTTCTTAACCTCTGAGGACAGGACAAGAAGCAGTGGGCTAAACTGCAGGTTTAGTTGAACCTTAGGAAAATCTTCCCAACTGTCAGGGTGGTTAAGTACTGGAATAAATTGAGAAGGGAGGTTGTGGAATCTCCATCATTGGAGATTTTTATGAGCAGGTTAGACAAACACCTGTCAGGGATGATCTAATACTTAGTCCTGCCATGAGTGCAGAAGACTGGACTAGATGACCCCCCGAGGTCCCTTCCAGCCCTAGGATATATATAGTTAGCCTAAGCTAATTGGATACCCCAAGGTTCCACATGACTGATGTTTATTAACACATTTGTTAATTATCTGGAAAAGGGGGAAACATCTGTAGATAACACAAAGTAATTTAGGTTGGCTAAGACTAGGGAAGATGCCAAAGAACTTCAGAGGGACCTAATAAAGCTTGCGGAACTGGCAGCATGACGACAGATGAAATTTATTCTTGACACATGCAAGGAAATGCACACTGGAAGAAATAAGTTGAATTTCTCCAACACATTGCTCTAATGATTTGGGAAAGAGACCTGAGTGTCACTACAGACAGCGCAATGAAAACCTCTGCTCAATGTGCAGCAGCTGCTGTCAAGGAACAGACAGAATGTTAGGATATACATAAACAATGGGATAGAAGATAACACTGAAAATGTTATAATGACATAATATATGGCTATGGTATGCCATCACCTGCAGTACTGAGTTCAGTTCTGGTCAACCTATCTCTAAACAGATACAGCAGAAACAGAGAAGGTGCTCAGGTGGGTGACAAAAATGACAATCAGCATAGAATGACTTCCAGATGGAGAGAGACCGGGGCTGCTTAGTTTAGACTGGGGATGAATAAGAGAGGGAATGAATGAAGTATACAGCAGTGAATGGTATAGAAAAGGGAAAATAGGAGCACTCACCTGACCTTTCCCATAATGCAAAATAAAGGTGACATTAAATTAACTTAAATGGCAGAAAATTTAAAACTGATAGAAAGAAATATTATTTATGCAATAGAGCCAGTAAACTTTGGACTCAAATCATAGAGCTATCATTAAAGCTTCATGTAGATGATGAGACCATCCACAGTTACATTAGGTAGGATATATTATATATATTATGCTATATGTTAAATAGTTTGCCCTAAACCTTTATGGTTTAGGGCAAAAACACCCTAGTTGAGGGGATTGTGAAGAAATGTCCTTTCTTGGCAGGTTATTCCATAATTGTCCATTATGGGGTTTTTTTGCATCATGCTCTGAAGCATCTGGCTCTGGCCAGTATCGGAGACAAGTTACTGGACTGGATGTATCACGGGAGGATAATTCCTATGTCCTAGATGTATAGTATTGAATGAAATGTTGCCAAGCACTTAGGAAGACTTTACATAATGGGTCCACCTGGTGTTTCTATGGAACACTGCAGGGTTTCCCCTCCTCATGAGCACTTTCCAGGAACCCACCCCCAAGCATCCTTCTTGCCCCGCCTCTGCCTGACCTGCAGAGCTGCTACAGCAAATCTGCCCACACCACAGCTATTAGCAGCCTTCAAGCAGGATACTGAGGGGGTGGAGTGCATGATTGTCTAATGGCCCAGATGAATCAAAATTTTCTAATTTCCTTTCAAGAAGAGAAACAAATGCCCCTCTTCTCCCAATATGCAGAGGAAAAACAAGTGTAAATTGTGGCTATTGCTTTGCAAAATGACTGAAGTGAAAAATATGCATGAATGCACAGGAATTTGGGGAATTTCTCAAACATTTTTCATGGGCTGTTTTGCCATGTAGGTATAAAGGTTTTATTCTGCCAAGACTGTATGTTTTGGCTGAAAATGTTACTGAATATTCTGGTTTAACAAAGCAGAAAGGGGATTTGCAACAAAAACTCCCACAACCTCAAATCATCCAGCATCCTTCCTGTGTCACACTCAGACCCATGTCTCCGCTTCAGCGCCTGTCCAGTCCATATCCCACAGACACGCACCTTATAGCACAACTCAAAGTGTCCCCATTCCCTCTCCTCCATGCTGAGAAAAATACGATTATTAGACATTTCTAGCTGCAAGCACAAAGCTAGTTTTTCTGCTGGCAAAGGGCTGGCCAATGCACTCTGCTGCCTTTTCAGCTCCCCTTGCATGGTCTAATTTTCAAAGCACAACTTAGCTTGGTCTGGGTCCATTTTTACTTACCCCTGAGCTCATTTGGTCTGAAAAGGGGACCTATTTCCTAGTGAAAAGTGTGTAAAATATAGCATATTTTGGGATGATCTGAAACTATTTTCAAATTAGTAAGGACATGGAGGGAAAAGCTCACATTTCAAGCAGCTTTGACGTTCCTGCCAAGCAAACTATTTAACATGCCTGTGCCATCAGGCTTTGAGTCTGTGAGCTCATTTCTGGGACAGGATTGCATTGGCTCTCCTGCATCAGCAGGAGAGTGAATTTGTGTGGGGGGGTGGAGGGTGAGAAAACCTGGATTTGTGCTGGAAATGGCCCACCTGTTGATCACTTTAGATAAGCTATTACCAGCAGGACAGTGGGGTGGGAGGAGGTATTGTTTCATATTCTCTGTGTGTATATAAAGTCTGCTGCAGTTTCCACGGTAAACATCTGATGAAGTGAGCTGTAGCTCACGAAAGCTCATGCTCAAATAAATTGGTTAGTCTCTAAGGTGCCACAAGTACTCCTTTTCCATTGGCTCTCTGTTACCATGCCTGGATATTACAAACCAGATAAAATAGAGGGCACTATGGATCAGAGATCTATGTCCGCTGGCTGATAATTCTTAAGCATATCCAGAATGTCTATGTGGTGATATCAACTTGCCTTCTAAGATGCTGGAGCTCCCTTCTCAGAAAAGCTGACCAAAAGAGAGGAGTCAGAAGAGGCAGTGGTGAGGAAAACCAGAGGAAAGGGAAGAAGAGAAAGATTCTTAGCAGAGTTTAATGCAGTTCCTTGGGCTGCCATGCAGTGGGTGTGTTTAACGAGAAAAAGATTTCAGTTTTACAGTGAAGACAAAAAGGAGCGATTTTCAGAGCCCATAGAAATTAAAGGGAATTGGGCATCCAGATCTCCTAGGCCAAGGTGAAAATCCCACCCAGAAAGATTTCCTCATCCACCTTCTGCACAGGATGTTTTTTCACAGCTCATCCCAGGTTATTTGATAAAGCCACAAGGGCAGGTATGCCCTGCGGGGAGATGTGCAAAATGGGTCAGCAGGTGAAAAGAGAGAGCTTTGGCTCTACAGCGATTGGCTTCCATCTGCATTTGTTAAGCTATCTGTTTTCTTATAAACTTGTTCGGCTGCACTGCCCAGCTTCGCCCTCTGCTGGAACTTCTGGTGAAATCGCAATCAGGTGCTTGCAATGCCACTAAAATGACCGTGAAGCAACAAATCCAGCATTATGGACTTTAAGCAGAGGATTAAGGAGAATGGAAGGTGGGCAGGGAGAAATATTTGGTTAAACAAAGAGTCAGATTCAAATATCCTTATTCATGGTGAGTAGTAACTTACTCTTCAAATAGTCCCGTTGATTTCAACAAAAGCTACTTGTGCAGTAAGCTACTACTCCTGGGGAGTGAAGGTGGAACAATCTGGCCCAAATAAATTTGATACTTCTCAAAATGTAGGAAAGGCACAAACCAAAATCCACTTTTCTAATAGGATAGATTTTTAAAGTTTTCTACAGTATGAAAATCCTGCTTTAAAGCTGCTAAAGGCAACTTGCCAACAACTATTTGTGACTTTTTCTGCTTGTTTTCTACATGAGAAATTTAGATCTAGTCTTCCCTGTTCTCTCCTGAAAGATTCTGTTGCTGACTGGAGAAGCAGCAGGATTAGGACATCACAAGTAACAACAGACAAAGCTGAGCAGCTGAGAGGGGCAGGGCTATTTAGTTGGACGGCTTAAATGTTAAAACCCATTTAATTCAAAAGGGTGGAAACACTTGGGAGAAACAATCTCTTTTGAAAGATACAACATTCCTTCTTTTGCAGCCAGTTCTGTGGTGAGTGCTCCAGAACAAACTGACAAGACAAGATGAGATACTCCCGGTATTTCTAAAGTAGATAGCAGGGAAAAAAAAACCTTTAAAAAAAACGCCTTTAAAAAAAACTGTCAGGGCTTCTTTGCATATCAAAAAGCAGAAAGAATACACAAAGAATTTCCCTTTTGCAGGTTACCTTTAAAAGAGGGACCAATAGATACAGGACAGAAGAGAAAGGCCAAAAACAGGTAGTAAAAGGAGAGAGAGTTAAGCAGGAGAAAGAAAAAGCAAAGAAAGATTAGGGAATTATTTTGAGGAAAGGAAAATAGAAGAATGAAAAGAGTAGAAGAGAAAGTGTGTTTGAGAGAGAAGAAGAGAGTGCAAAGGAAAGAGGCCTGCTTCCATTCCTCCCCCTCCCCCAGCTGCTGATCCCAAATTGGCTCCCAGAGTAACCTAACTGACATTCAGTGAATAGCATCTAGCCACCAGACTGTACCATTCAAACTTTCCACAGGGGAAGGTGAGAGCTGCTTGAAGAATTACAATTTAGTCTGATATCCCTTCCCTAAAGGGACTACATCCAAACCTCCAAAAACAATACAATCCTAAGGAATGACCAAACGAGTTTGTTGATTCTAAAGTGCGGAGCTCTGTAGGTTTGGCTGGTTCATTTAAGTTGTTTTGGCTTTGTCTGTTCCTGCTATTCCCATCCTAGCTGCCATCTCTCCCCGCATCCTACCTTACCCCCCTCTTCCCTCCCCCAAGAAGTAAGGGACTGGAAGACAACAGAGAGCTATGGAAGGGCAAGCAGTAAGAGGGAAAAGACAGGAGAAGGTAGACAACCCTGTGCAGCTTGAGTATTAGTGAGAGTATTAGTACAAAGCCAGGGGACCAGCTGCAGCCTCATGGGATTGTCCTGAAAAGATAACAGCAGCTGTAGGAGCACACAAGGGGGAAAATGATCAATCAATGATCTGCGCTAACTCTGAAGAGCTATCCTGCAGCCTGCGTTTTGCAGCATTTCTTGACAGCTTCTAAGGGAAAGGTCAGTGCTCTCAGGTCCTTCTAATCTGGGCAGCCTATCCCCTCTTCCCATCTTTCAAGTTTGATTTCACAAAGATCTGGAGAAAAGCAAAAGGCTTTAAAGCAGCCAGGGCATGAGGATGTGAGATGGTCTCAGATGCTGCTAAAATAAGATGATCACAGTCAAACCTGATCATTCATGATCACGGTCTCCGTCCGGGAGGGAAACAGCTCTGTGAATGTATCACTTACTGGTCTGCAGGTAGGGTTTTGGGGCAGTGGGCTGAGGAGATTAGTCAAAGGGAAACATATTTTAAGTGATTGTTCTGCATTGATTAGGTACTAACATACTGAGTTTTCTGAAACTTTGTATTTGGTAGTATAAAACTGAGCCACTGAATTTTACATCCTTCTCCAGATAGGTAAAAGGTGGTTTTTTGTTTGGGTTTTTTGCAGTTTCTTTTCCATATTAAGGAGAGCCGGGGACACTTTCCTAGCGTTCACCAATTTCAAGATGCAATGAGAAGGGAAGAGGAAAGCCCTTTTCCATCCACACTGTGTCACAAGTGCACAAGCCACTGAAAACGACTTTCTTCTAGCAGAAGATCAGAAAAGGTGATGAGAACTTGTGAAAACGACTGCAAAAATGCACAAACCCACCCCAGACCTGCTATTTGGTGAGACCGAGGAGAGGAACTTTTTGTTCCATATTTTATGATGTTCCAAAACTATGACTTTTTCACTTTTGTTGCGAACATTTTACAAAATGAAACCCTTCACAACCTTCATCTGCGTGCTACAAAGATGTGATCTGAATCTGAATCATGGGCATATGCCAGTCACTTCATACTATATTTAATCAGATAGGGGCAATATTTTGTATGGTGACTGGCAGATTGTTTGCTCTTCAACAGGCCTTTTATTAATACTGCTGGATTTCACTAGCTAATTGTGCCTGCTGTGGGAGCAATCACAGAATGGCAACTCTGGTGTGCAGGCAGGGCTGGGAGGAAATGGAGTGGCTAGTATTTTTAAAAATACTGCTGGGCAAATACGTTGTTAACATATTTACAGAATAATTTATCCAATTAATTTCCATGAGATTTTACAAAAAAGAAATTAAATTAAATTCTAAATTATTTGCCACCTCTAGTTGTATATGTGGCTGGATTGAATTCCACTTTCAATTCCAATGAATACATGCCAATTTTATATATACCAGGCACAAGTTGCTCAGCAGTAGTACAAAACTAATTTCAAATTGCTAGCTGCAGCACTGGCCTGAATCTATCTGTTACCCAGAGCAGCCATTTCCTCCTGCACGGAACAGTGAACTGATGAAGGCCTTTGACTTTGTGTGGTAGCAAAGTGTCCCGCTTAGTATGTGGTATATGGGGGAGGTTCCCCTTCCTGCTCTGAAAGCCATTAATATGGAAAGTCCTTCACTCTAGTGAGTACCACACAACAGTTCCCAGCACTAGCTAGCTTTGGGGTCCAGGCTCTGGCAACACCATCTCAGAGACAGAGAGAGAGAGAGAAGGGCATGCAGCTGGGGAAGGGATGAGAGAGGTACAAGCAACTAAGGGAGGAAGCGATGAGATATAGGAAGGATCTGCAGAAAGAGAGCAGGAATATTTCTTCCCATACCTGCGAGTCTGTTTTAGTTTACCTGTGGATTAGGATGAGCACTCAGCAGGCTTTGATGGGAGAAGGGAAATCAATACACCGTCTCAGGAAAATAACAGTGGACATTAAATTGAGAGTGGACATTAGAGTGGAGGAAAACAGACATAATGGCAATACAGACTGTGCACAAAGTTGTCTGATTTATCAGAGAGATTCCATTCTTCAGTTCAGAGCTCAGGGGCCAAATGCACTCAATTACAGCAGTGTAAATTTGGAGCATCTCCATTCAAGTCAGTGGAGTTGCAAGAACACTAGTTGTAACCACGAGCAGATATGGCCTACACCTGCTAGCACAAGTGACTTATGTTTGCAAATCCCTTCGGGTATTCTCAGCCTGAGATACTGGATATTGGCTGTGCAGCACTCTATACTGTCAAGCGCAAGAATTCAAAGCTCTTGAGACAGATCTCCACAAATGAAATTCGCTTAAACTCTAACACATTTTGGTTTTTTTTTCTTTGCCTTCTGGTTTTTGAACCTCTGTGCTGTACATGGGTTCATGTTTTCAAGCTTGGCTCTGCAACCGTGAAGGCTAGGAATTTTCTTTTTCTTCCTTCCTTCCTTTTGAAAGCTGAGATTCTCATGTAATGACTTGAATCCAGGGACTGGGTCCTTAAGAAAAAATACCAAATATTGCAAGATTTGAAACAGAATCACAAGAGCTGGCAAGACTAATCTCTGGTAGTGTTCACGTGAGCCAGAACCCTGTGAATCATGCTGAGAATACCACTCTGGAAATCAAAAGGATTCCCAACTGACTCAGTCAGTGGAAGGAGGACATGACTCAAAACCTCCCTCACCCCCGTGGATGGCTGGGAATGGAACTGCCACTGAGGCCATGTGAAAGGAGTGCTTTGGGTCACTCTCCAGTGAACACTGACAATAATGCTGGTGGTATCCCTGGGGGGCACTCAGCCACTTCTCCAATGGAGTTGTGGTAGCACGGCAGGGATGGCAGGGTGAGGGGGTGTGACGTCTGGAAAGTCTGCATTTTTTTAACATGAAAAATCTTTCCACTGAAGGTAGGCAGCTGGAAACCTCCAGAAGCACATCTGAACTTTGTGAAGAGGACTTCTGACCTTTCAACTTTGCCACGTGCTAAAGGAAATAATCTGATCTTGTGTAGGTAATTCGGTTCATGTGGTTTTCTTGGAGCTCTCCAAGTGAAGTCTGAGCTGTTTTGGCCGCAGCAGGGCAGCTTTGGAAACTACAGGTAATGTGGTGGCTTTTCCCTACTTGTATTGAGGGCAGTTTCTCCATCTGAAATAATTGTGAATAAACCCCTTTCATGAGAACCAACAGAAGGTGCGGGAAGGGCAGAGGCTGAAACAAAAGCAAACACATATCTTACCAACCTGAAAAAAGAATTCCATTGATGGGGGAAGGGACCGCCTCAGATCTGACATGACATTTAGTAAGATAAATAGGCCTAAGAAGCGATCTAGGGGAATGAGATTCTGACAGTGTCACAGGGGGACTGCATTATAGCTGTGTACATTGAATCTTAAGTCTGGTCACTCTCTATATGTTCTTCATCATACTAAATAGACACCGTCAGCCACAAGTATTGTTAGGGAGGGACTGGTTGGTTAAGTCATTATTAATGCTGGAATATGATGTGATTGCTTAATGATTGAGAGAGAGAGAGAGTGTATGTATGTAAAATGCTGTTGTCTTTTTTATTATAATTAATAGATATGCCTTAAAACTTTATAGACATTTAAAAAATTGTGGATTTTTATATTTTCACGTGTTTAAAAATGTTAGGACTGCATATTGTGGCATTCTAGAGTATTTGTATAGCAAACATTTTGCAATCGTGATTTAATCTTTGTAGAAATATGCAGCAGAATATTTTTCCAACTCTCAGTGTCACTGGTGTCAGGATATAGTGTTGTTCACACGCAGAATGGATTTGCTATATTGGATGTAGGGATTAAGCTAAAAGCTGCAAGTAAGCATGACTTAGCATAGTCACTTTTCCTGCTTCTCTCATAGAAATGGGGAGTTAGACTGTGAGTTGGATAGCTCCTCCCCAGCCACCTTGATAACTGTCCACCATGTCTGTTTCAACAGTACAAGCCTCAAGCTTCTATAAAAACAGCCATTTAAATGTTAGCTTCATAGATAAACCATCAAGGATATATGTGGGAAATATCCTATATCGTTCTGTGCATGTTGCTTGATTCAGCTTTCATTTGGATAAATTCATTATATAGTTAAGTCTCTCCACTGACTTTTACACCTGGGAGTTGCCTCTTTATCAATGGCTACCAGCACTTCCACTGAAAACCACCAACTGCAGCCTAACTCTTAGCTGTGGGTCAGACGTTGGCCCAGTTTTGCCTGCTTTGCACTGCTCTGGCAATGCAAAGCAACAATAATGCTGGCTTAGATGGCTGGTGAAGGATCCCACTAGCATGGGGGATTTCCTGAGTGATACCGAGCTGCTGTAGCTGCCCCTAGGCTAACTTCTTTACTGGTCCTCAGTGTAGGGGGCATGACTGGGGATTTTTTTTTTTTTATAAGCTGGCTAAGGTGTAAAAATTTTGAAGGAAACTAACTCATTAGCCTGATATGAAAAACAGGGTTCTAAAGATAAAGAGAGAAAAAGATAGTCTTGTGGCTAAGGCATTGAACGGGATCAGGAGATCTAGGTACAATTCCTTACTCTGCCACAGATTTCCTGTGTGACCTTGGACAACCACAGAATCTCTCTGTCCCTCAGTTCCCCATCTGTAAAATGGGGATAACAGTACTTCCTTTGTATGTCTTGCTTATTATAGGCAGGGGGGCAGCATTGCCTATTATTAAGTGTACCAGGCATTTTGCATTATAAGTTGCTGTTTTCACTTACTTATAACTTTGTCAAACTTCAACCATCTGGGCTGACATTTTCCATACTGGATGTCTGCCTCAGACTGAATTTGTTTGGAAAATTTCAGCCAAAATGGGTCAGCCATTTCTGGGAAATGAGGCTATGGAAGAGTACATTGTTTTGCTCATGTTAAATTCTTGAGACCTTTTCTTTGAAAAGCTCTCGCTCCCGTTTGGAGCAGGGACTTGAAATTTGGCAGGAGATGGCCTTTCTGTCAGGGATTGTGCCTTTGCCATCCCTATGGAAATCTGTCTTGATTTGGCCATGTTATAAGCCTTTCAAAAAATCGCAGTAATAGCGATGAAACCGCCTGGCAAAGAGTTCCATCTCCCTCTTCTGCTCGTCCACACATTGAATGACAACCTACTATTGCTATCAGTTACTTCATGGTTGATCCACCCCCGCTGACCATGCATGTGGGTGTCATTTTGATGCCACATGATGGAATTTCTGTTTTTTCAGTTTGCGTTTTTTTTAAAAAAAAAAACAAGGACATTATCCATAAAACTACATTAAAATAACATTACTAAGTTTGCAAAGTCTAGCACTCAAAATCAAGAAAATGCCAGAATTAAGGTTGCCTGTGTATATGCATTATTGAGAGTCTTAAATGACATGATCACAAACTATTTTTTTCCACAGCAACCCTGCCCCATTCAGTGCACAGGATAGACAGTCCTCACTTGATGAACTGCTTATTCAAGATTTTGTTTTCTCCTCCTTGTTCACCATGTGGCCTCATGAATTATTGACTGTGTTGGGGCTTCTCAGGGCTACTGTAATATAATTATAATAAACCAATTAATAATAATTTTAAAAATATTTACCCAGCCCTTATATTTCTTGAAAATCCAAGCAACTCAGTGATGAAAAGAAATACATCTGAATTCTAAAATGAGTGTTTGAGAATGAGTGCCTTTAGAATGGCCTTGGTAGCAACATTTTCTGGAGTTTCACTGAAAAAATCCCAAAATTATCCGAACCTCCCCCCAATTATATTTGGTGAAAAATTCTGATGAATCAAAAAGACATTCTCTGTTTAAAAATGTTTTGATGGAAATGTTTCGACCAGCTCTAGTATTCCCTTACTTACACTTCGCTGCTGAGCTTTATATAATGGAGTTCCACTGGAATAGCCGCACTAGAGATGTGACACGCTAATTACCCAGGGCAATGCGGGAGGGGTGTGTTTTGCTCCACGTACCAATATGTGGCTATATATTCCCTTTAACAGATATTCCTGTCAGGGGGCTCTGTTGTTTTAAATATCTGTATTTTAGTTCAGTGCACAGAAACTGTATTTAATAGATCTAAATTCCACCTTTTGTTGCACTGTCCCTACTGGTGTCTTGGAACAAACAGTTCCATAACCTTATGACACAGGCTTGCAGCCCTGTACTTCATTTCTAGAGAGTCCAAACTCTGGACTATCAGCCAGGGTCATTTAATTGACTAAAAATAAAAAGCCAGCTGCTTGTTAGAAGGTGTCAGAGTTACGAGTGAAATGAGAAGACGTGCACTTTGCCCATGTGATGATGGGCCTTATGGAAACTTCACCTACCCTCACTTTTACTGGGGCCAGTGGAAGCTTCCTGCATCGTGTTTTTAGGTGCATTTTAGTACTGATGAAAGGTGCTGGGCTGGCAGCCTGGCAAACTGAAGTCTTCTCTTTATCCAAGGAACACATATATGACATGAATCTCACACACTGGCGTACTGATGTGCCTCAGCCCAGTTCTGGAGGAACCATCCTCTAAGGATAAGAAGGTCATTCCACTTCTAATCCCAAGTCATCGTAGTCCTCCTTGCTGACGTTACCCTCATCAGTGCCAACTGGCACCAGTCATGAGGGTGGTGTTGGTGATGTGCACACCTCTGTGGCCTGAGGCCATCAGTCAATTTTACAACAGCTATGGAACCGCTTCTAGATGGTAATAGTTTAAATCACCTTATTTCTGTTCATGTTCTGCATTGCAGGAAAGATGAACACAGAGGATGTTGGGAATGAGACCTCTCCAACACCTAGTATCCTTGGATTCCTTGTAACCACCACCAAGTTGGTCCCACTAAGTCCCGTGCCCCCAGGGGAGAAGCCAGACCCTTTGCCTATTATCATCGCACTCATCTGCATCTTTCTCCTCCTGGCTACCTGTCTTATCTTTGTCACTCTCTGCAAACCAGCAGCACTCGACCAGGCCCGCTATGGGCCACATGAGTGCATGCCCTACCACCCAGAGGATGCCAGTGAACCACAGCTAAGGTTCTGGAAGCGACTGGGCTCCCTAAGGCGTTCCATAAACAGCTTCAGGCGGACCCAGCCTGTCTCTCAGCACCATCGGACCTGCTCAAGAATGCCACCAGCCACCCAGGACTGGGACTTCATGGAGTCCACTAAAATGTGACAGCTGTTTCTCCACCATTCTGCTGCAAACACCAACTCATCTCATTGCACAAACACCCCATTCACTGCTATCAATGAGATCTCAAATCGTCCAATACCACTTTGCAGAGCACAGAGTCAGGGCAGAGACCTTGGGAGAGCAGAGTGGCAGCAATTCTCGTACCTACGGAAATCTCTCAAGGAGTCCCACAGCCCACAATGTGGGAGCATGAAGTTTGTAAAGACCAGCTGATGGAACCAGATTACACCAATGTGGTACTGTTTCTTGGGACCCTACAATCTGGAACTAACCAGCAGTGAGTGACATAAGACCAGCAACATCTGCTGGGGAAAGCATTTGACAGAAGGCATCACTAATTCTAAGGCTCCTTGCAAAGTGTCTCCCTGGGGTTAAGGTGTCTATTTCTCCAAGTTTTGGTAGTTTGAAGTTTTTCCTCCATCTCCTTTACTGTAAAGACCCAGGGGTGCACATGCTGATGTTAAAATATCTGCCCTCTGTTCATTAACAGAAGCATTAGGGTATGTCTACATGTAAACCACAACAGTGGCACAGCTGCATCTCTGCAGTTGCATTCCTATAAGGCTTCAGTGAAGACACTACATACAACAACAGGAGGGGTTCTCCCATTGGCATAGGTACTATGCCTCCCAGAGTGGCAGTAGCTAGGTCGATGGGAGAATTCTCCCATTGACCCAGTGCTGTCTAGAGTCAGGGTGGGTATATCGGCTTATATATCGGCTTAACTGTGTCACTCGGGGGTATGGATTTTTCACACCCCTGAGCAACATAGTTATAATGACCTAATTTCCTAGTGCAGACCAGGCCTTAGCCATTACAGCTCTTAGTTCATGGAGAATAGACGCTCTCAAAGGTTTTGCCAAAGTCAGATAAAGACCCCAAACACAACTGTTTTACTTATGAAGAAGCACATGGTCCCTGTAAGTCAGGTGTGGGACTGTGGCTAAGTGGCCCTGTTCAGTTCACTGTATATACCCTGAGCCAGTACAGGTGGAGGGAAGCAGACCCAGTGCAAGGCACTGTGTTGAATTTGCAAGGAGGTGATGGGAGGAAGTGCCTTGCAGGTGTTGCATTCAGACCAGATCTCCCTTCAAATATTCAGCAATAGCTGATTCAGCACTTGGGCTGCCACCATTTTAAAGTTTGTTCTCTGGGACAAACAGGTCATGGCCTGATGCTGAGCCACCGTGTCACATCCCCCCACCCATGCCACCCCACAATGCTGTGATACATCACTGCCACCTTGCGTAAAAACATAACATGCTGACATTGTGTCAGTCTGGATGTTTTCTAGGAACCAATAATGTCCTTCAATCCTCACTTGCAACACATGTGCCATTTTAAAACAAGGACATACAAGCTGGGCTCCAAATGGTGCTGTTTGAGCACACTTTGTGGTGGAGGGCCCCTGCGCCTTGTGAGGGAGAAGACAAAGAAGGGAAAAAACTAGTGAGGATACTGGATCCCTCTCTAGGTCACAGAGAATAGGGAGTTCATTAACCCCTCTCCTCCCCCCATATTCACCAAATTCAAACATTTTCTTGAGGGCTCACTTATTTGCATCATCTGCATTAAGCACTAGCCTTTAATACTAGTAAGGAAAGTGAAATAAATGCTATTCTAAGCATTTCTGCTGGAAGCCTTGAGAATTTCTAACACAGGTGTCCCTGGGATCTTTTGTCTTTTAACCACTAACGATGCCCCTTTCTGGGACACACTGTGAAATGGAGCTTGAGGATGGGTGGAAGAGGATGTGAAATGGTGTTACTTCAGTTTTAATATGTGTCTTGAATATTGCAATTAAAATATTCAGGGTTGCTGTTTTCTGGTCTGAAAGGGGTAGGTCCAAATGACACCCATGGGAAGATTTCACAGATAGCTTAGAATATCAGGGTTAGAAGGGAACTCAGGAGGTCATGTAGTCCAACCCGCTGCTCAAAGCAGGACCAATCCCCAATTTTTGCCTCAGATCCCTAAATGGCCCCCTCAAGGATTGAACTCACAACCGTGAGTTTAGCGGGCCAATGGTCAAACCACTGAGCTATCCCTCCCCAGTTAGAAGGTGCTGCTTGGTTTCTTTTGAAGAATGTTGGGTAAGTCATGTAACATCTGTATCAAATGACTTGGGCAAGAGAGCAACAATCTCACTGGCTAACAAACACTGCGTCTAAGATGAGTGACCCAGGGTAAATCTATTACAGAAGTGTATTTCCTGAATTGACGTGTAGTCCTTTTAAGCAGATGTATTCCTTTATGTTTTCTATTGTATTTTACATTTTTGTGTCCTTACAAGCTTATTCTTTTAGCTGGTTTATTCTGGAACTGGGGCCTCATTATAATTCTGTAATGGTTTGGAGTTTGTGCATGGAAAATGTCTTCTCTCAGCTGGCCTATTCCTAAGCAGGTGTGTGCTAAATAAGCTCCACTGTACTCACTCTCTGTTCACCATGTAAAGTCTATGTACTCATCCTCGTGACACAATCTGTAGGTTGTTATACGTTTATATGTAATCATGGACTCCACAAATGTCTACTGAAAAACCACTTCAATAAATAAGCAGCAGGTTCAGGTAAACATGCTTGTGAATGCATTAAAAGGGCCTCTGGAGGGTTTCAACCACTGGCAAGTTGGCTGTGCAAGGATGAGCCCCTCATTTCTGCTGTAAAGGACATATGACTAGCACGGTAATCTACCTTCCCTTTCCCAAAGAAGTTCTCTAAAAAGGGCAGTATAAATAAACATAGCACGTTTCTATCTTAGGGACAGGTTTTCCAAAAAGCTCCACACCCGGCAGCTCCCATTTAGCTACTTAAATGAAGTGGCCATATTTTCAAAAGTGCTCAGTGCCTAGCAATGGAGACGCGCTCTTTCCACCGAGCATCTTGAGAACAATGAGAACTGCTAGGTTCTCATTTAGCCCGAAGGGTTCATGACACACAATTTAAAACACGGGGAAACATTAAGAGAAAGGAGAATGCATCTTCTTTAACTTACTCAGCTGTGAACATTTATTTTAAACGAAACCCACAAAATTATTTGTTTCCTGGGTTTGTTTATATCATCACTCTGACATCATTTAAACCCAGTTTAATGTATTTCATTTCCCTTTGGTTTTGTTTGAGGGAAAACAAGCTTTCCTGGAAGGTCATTAAAGCCTGTTTTACAGGCAAATTCTCTGGGATTACCACCTTCTTTCCTTTCCAGACTTTCATGTGCATTTCATTTCAGGGAGTATTTTAGAAAACATTGTACTGTCTTCTGTAGGAAAGCCGTGACTACCAGGTTCAGTTTTGTTTCCTAGTTATTATTGCGTTGCTCCACAATATGTTATTATCAAAAGACAGGCAATCAGAACAGTTTCTGCATAAACACAGGGCAATTGTCAAACATGTATGTTCCTTCTGTTTAAAAACATCTTTTGATTTGCAAACATATTTTTGTTTCAAACTCATCAAAAGGGGCTAATCCACGTGATGAGACAGGGGCCTGGCAAGTTTGATAAGGAAAAACAAAGTAAAACACATTTTGAAGGTAAAGTATGGCCAGTCTATGCTCATCCAGATCAAATCCATCAAATGAATGAAAATAGGGTTAAGTTATGGGATTGTGCAGACTACATGAATTCCCGTAGGGGGTCTGAACAGCATCACTACATTACCCCGAAGCAGAAAGTTAATGCTGTGGCTGCTCCTCCAGAAGGGAGAGGGCTGGTTACAAAGATGGGGAAAGTCCTTGGCACCCACCAAGATTCCTTTGTGCTTCCAGAGTGGCACAAAAGAAGCCTGTAGTCAGGTCTATGTGGGAAACTGAGGATTCCCCTTGTATGGGAGAATGCTCAGCGCTGAAAAACTTGCACAGGGAGCTTTATACCACTTGCTCCTCACTTCCTGGTGCAGAGGGTGTGGCCAGTGCAGCAGGGCAGAGATGGAGTACAATGTACTTCAGCAATCCTGGGCCAGCAGAACAGTCCCCAGTACCTGGAAGTTAGAGGCTGCTCTAACTTCACCGGGGCTGGTTTGCCTCCTAGCCAACCCTAAGATCAGGACAGGTGGAAAGAAAATGCATTACGAGAGAGCTTCATGGGGCTTGAGTGCAGCATCATAATTCTTGGCCTTTGCCTGGAAATGGGAGGTCGAAGAGGAGTCTGCAGGTGTATGTGAATACACACTTGAGAGGGGGACGTTTCCACCCTTACCCATAAGAACCTGGGTGTTACAGGTGTCCAAGTACAGACTGGTTACCAGCCCCATAACTAAGGGTGTCTTCATTATTCCCTCAAGGCAATCAGACATGCTTTGCAATCTCTTCCCTTTTGTCCACGGGGGGTAAAGGCTGGAGTCATCCATTTTTTACTGATTATATCTTTTAAAATAGTTTGCTTCTGGATGTGGAGCTGAATTGACAGCCTGGAGAGCAGGGTCCCATATGAATTCAGAGATCAGGCACAACATGGGCAGCAACAGAGCCCAGTACTTCTTCCACGCTGCCCTGGTAACATGACTTGGCACTGATCTAGAGGGATCAGCTCTCGGGTAAAAGAGCAACTTAGTCTCCAGGCCTATTCAACCCTCGGATTCTCTACCTATGTATTTAGATGAATATGCACAGAATAAAAAGGGAACCAACTGTTATGCTCTGAGCACACTGGCATAATTTAAAAACTACCCACACATCAGAAATAATACTGCAGCATAGCTAAGGCACAGCAAAGCCATTCAGCATAACCCAGACATAAAAAGCTAAAATTCAGACAAACAAGAGCACCATTTGTGGTGATTTTTTTTCTGTAGGGTTACATGTCCACTAGGAACTACTCAGACGGAACTCCTTTCACAGATGGCACCTTTAATAAGGGCCATTAGATGATAGTGACTTTCAGTTACTACCAACCTGGGTGGGATTCAACTAGTGACCAACAGGTGAAAGGCTCCACTATTTTTTTCCCCAGTGAATCAATTTGCCATCTCCTTCTCCTCCACGTGACAGGGACAAAGCCCTGTCACCTCACTGCCCCTTTTCCAGCACTAAGAGATGCATTAAAGGCATAAGAAGGCCTCACAGTGCATACTGCAAAGACTCCTTGGTGCCCGCTCCAGAAAACATTTGGTTTTGAAGTGAGGTTGGAAACCCTCAAAGGCTGAGTGAATACATGCATTCATTCCCCAGCTCATTCAGCCATTCAGCTCTACTGATGGCTAGTTCCAAAGGGGAAACAAAAATAAAAATGAGACTCCAAACCCTTCTCTCTCTCTCTCTCTTTGAAAATTTTATATCCTCTCAGCCTGTTAGCTCACTGGGAGGAGAGAAAAGACACTGCAGCCTCAGCCAGTGTTGCAATGAAAGCGGCTCTGTACTGTGGCACTAGTTGCCTGCTATTGAGGCCTGTCTCCTTTCCTATCTCACCATGGAAAATGTTACTTTACCCAAGCAGAATGGAAACTTTCAGAGTGCAGCTCTACTGCTGCTATGTCCATAGCCACATATACCAGCTGGGCGGGAAAGAGAAGAAAGGCCAAAGAAAGAGAAAAGAAGAGGCTTTCACAAGCAGAGTTTTTTTTCCCCCTCAAGAAGTGGGGTAAAGCAGTTTCCTGTTTTTTCTCTTCCAGGGTACCCTCCCATTCCCTGCCTTGCTCAGCATCCGAAAAATGAATGACTTCACTTGCCCAGCTTACTTTCGCCCAGCCTCTCTCTGGTGTTTTTAGTCCATCAAAGGAGAGGAAGGTCTGGCTAGTGAGTGTGCAGTATGGAATAATCCTAGATTAGCAGGGAGATGGATCATAGCCAGAGGTGGAAAGACCTGTTAAGTTCTGTACATCTTTGTCTTTCCAGCTAACAGTCAGAACGTGGCAAGAGGGAAGGGAGGTGAGATTCTCTTTCACACAGTAACACTCTTCCTTTGGAGCCTGAGGGACAGGAGGGATACATGCCTGCACTATGCTGCTGGAGTCTGGGATGTTCTCAGGTACACTGGCCTCGTAACTGCTCTGAAGGAAGATAGGCCGATTGTCATTGACATCTAGTACAGTGATGTGCACAGTGGCTGTCCCAGTCCGCCTGTTCCCTGTGGGGCCATTGTCTGTGAAGAATAGAAAACACAAGGTGGTCCTTCTCACAGACAGGAAGCACATACTTCTCTTGTTGGGTGTTCACTATTCGTTGAGGATTACATTTCTACAAGATGAAAAGGCCTTTCCTCTTCTTACGCCAAGAGGTGGGCCACAAATGAGGGAGCTCCAGTTCTGCCACACCTTCCACAGGGAAACAGACTATGGCATCATAAAAAATGCATGCACACCTACTTTCTACACGGAATGGCCAATTAATCATCCATTAAACTGAAACTGTGAAAAGAAAGAGGCCCACATTTTCTCTCTCTCTGCCCCCAAACTCTCTTTTCTTCTTCATCTTCTGTGCAATTTCAAAATCCATGCAATTATTTTTCCTTTTAAGGCAAATGTTCTTTTTCAATTAACCAAAAGAAAAATAGGAAAACAGCATCAGAGCCCAGCTCTGATGCAGCAGCATAAATCAATATGCATGACAATGCAGGAAACAAAATGACGGCATGAAAATGCAGTTTGGTTTCAAGACTCCAAGGTGTTACCATGAGCAATGAGAAATAAGAATTTAACATATTTTTAAAAACATACCTTAACACTTATCAGTTTTAAATACAGCAAACTAGGGGCCAGGAGACCTGGCAACTTAGAAAGACAGACACTCTGATAACTGCCTGAGGATCAGCGCTTATCCTTTGTTATTTCAGAAATGGTCACCAAATATCCAGCTGACTTGTATTACCAAATGCCAACGTAACCCTGCATGGGGTTCTTTGGAGATGGAAGGAGACAGAGGAGTTCCCTCTGCTTCTATAGCTAAAAGAGGGCCAAAATCCATAAGAGGGAGATAATATTATCCACAGCTGCAAACACTGGGAACTGCTGGTCTCCCAATATTGTTCCACCCCCTATATCATCTGGTTTTCACATGCATTCCAACAGTTTTCTGGTCTATAGAAAATTCCTACCTTGCCATTTATCTCCCCTTCCAAAGGCCAAGGCTCCTATAACCTAACACAGCACTGTAAGCCCTTGGTGATAATGGCCAGAAAATAGTTGGCACTGAGTTCCTTTGATCATGACAGCTGGCTCCACAGTGTTAATCTGGCAGTAAGTGAATCAGGTTTTGGCATGGCACTTTCAGACTGATCTTGTTTCACCATAATTCCATAGTGAATATTTTCATTACGGCAGGATATACAGTAACAAGAGACTGAACTGCTTCCTTACTAGAAGGAGGGCTTTCCCGCCCCGATCACAGTAGACCAGTGCAGGGAAAGCCCTGGACTGAATGAACACAAATAAAGAATCCCCCTGCCACCCAGTAAAGGCAGGTCCCTCCACACTGGGGCTGAGATATATTAACAGAAGTGGGACAGGAATCATTATTATTAAAACACATCTACTGACATTGACTTACATGGTGCTTACAGACAGTTCTCTCTCTCTCTCCAATGCACCCCAAGGAAGGCTTGTATATAACCTAAATTGATTGCTTGAATAACAAAAACTGAG